GGTGGATAAGGATTAGTGATTGGCTGTCAAATATTATATGGACAATGGCGGCAAGTTCGTTTTATTTCGTCCGTTTGTCCTCTTTACCATAAATAATAATAATATTTGGGACATGTCACACACAACGCCATCCAGTTTCAAACTAAGCAGAGAGCATGAAAGGTAGATTGACTGATAGAAATATACTTTTTTTTTTTGTAAATACATACATATTATGGATAGAAAACACCCAAACTAAGAACAAATATTTGCAGATCATGCAAACATTTGGTCCGACCCGGCAATCGAACCCGAGACCTCAGCATAGCAGTCCCATACGCTACTACTGCACCACCGAGCCAGTTAAAAGAACACTAATTGTGTTTGTTTTAACTGCACCGCCTGCACCTCAAGAATCAGAGGTGTGTTGCCCCCCCCCCCCCCAATTGTTAGGAGGTGGGGGTTGGGTTCTTGTAATCTTACTGACTTAGAGAAAGCAGACGAAATAGTTACTAAGATTGGTCTTTTGGGATGCTATGGTATTACTCCGATCGAGTCACGCCGTTTATGTCGGAGCATGGCTCGGTAATGTTATGTAATAACAAGGATTGAGTAATAGGCAATAATATGATGATAAAACATACACACACTCCTTAATCCCCGAAGGGTCAGACAGGCGACCTCACGACCACTGGCTTTAGCAGTCACGATAGCTAACCACTACACCAACTGGGCTTATAACTTCAATCTACACCTCTCACACACGACAATCTGGTCCAAATTGGGCAGAGCCTATACTATAGTTACCAATCTGCTAATTTCTAAATACATATATATTACTAGCTGACCCGCGCAACTTCGTCTGCGTCTCTCAATAGTAATAAATTTTCTCCGTTTTTGAAACATTCTTCATTGGTGCTTCGCTCCTATTGGTCTTAGCGTGATGATATATAGCCTATAGCCTTCCTCGATAAATGGGCTATCTAACACTGAAAGAATTTTTCAAATCCGGACCAGTAGTTCCTGAGATTAGCGCGTTCAAACAAACAAACAAACTCTTCAGCTTTATAATATTAGTATAGATAGATAAATTACATCCAGACACAGAACACATGATCGTGATCATTACAAAACATTTATTCTGGGTGGGAATCGAACTCACTGCCTCTGGCTTAGCAGTCAGGGGCACTAACCGGTAGAACAACAAGCCACTTAAATATCTTTCAATGACTACATCGCGAAAAAAAACATTTATAAAATTATTATCTATTTAAATAAAAATAGCAGATGAGTAAGTTTAAAAAATGTTATAGTCAAAATACAAATTTTACCCACACACATTATCATATTTCATAGAAGTAATAAAATTATAATAAACTAAACAGTAATACAAATAAATAATAGCAATAAAAGAAGAAAAAACAATATAATATTTAGCAAAGTAATCGGTGGAAAGTAAATTTACACGGGTAACGTGAGCTATATGTTAAGGTATAGTACTTATAAATGCACTTACACTGGTCCGAAGCTGGGATGGGTCGGCAGTATCATACTAGCGACCCTATAACACTGTTTACACGTTACAGTACTGAACTTGTATATTGCCAATGAGATTCTGCTCATTGCCACGCCATTATATACGTATGTACGACAACACACAATTGTAAAGGTTGAGGCAGATAGAACGGATAGCGATACGCGGTTAGATACGCGGTTATCGCACCGTTTCGACGGAGGTGCATGCGCATTGGCCGGAACTCCCCCGTGGGATTTGGAGGCGGAAGTGCTCGCCGAAGTTTATCGGCGAGTGGCTGACTACCGGGCGGAGAGCGGATTTCGCCCTCCGCCCGAGGATGTGCGCGAGTGGCGCGAAGCCGCTCGCCGAGCCACGATGGCTCGTTGGTCGTTCCGGCTGGAGACTCCACGCGCTGGCTTCGCCGCCGTGGAGGCTCTCCAGCCGGTCATCGCCGAGTGGGCAGGGCGGCAGCACGGGACCCTTTCCTTCCGACTGACGCAGGTGCTTTCCGGGCACGGTTGCTTCGGAAGGTACCTGCACACGGTCGCTAGGAGGGAACTGAGTCCCGCCTGCCACCACTGCGACTGCAGTGAGGACTCGGCCCAGCACACGCTGGCGGTCTGCCCCGCATGGGCGGGCGCAGCGCCGGTCCCTCACTGCAGTCATCGGAGTGGATCTCTCGCTACCGGCCGTAGTACGCTCCATGGCCGGTAGCGACAGTTGTTTTACCGCGGTCGCAACCTTCTGCGAGGTAGTAATCTCGCGGAAGGAGGGCGGCGGAGAGGGCCCGGGAGGACGACCTCCACTCGGACCCGATCCGCCGCCCGGCGAACCGGGCGGCGGAGGCCCGCCTACCACAGCCTCATGCCGCCCTGAGTGTGGCCGCGGGTGGACGGGGTGGGTTTCCCCTCCACCCGCATTAGTTTGGCCAGCCGCGAGGGGGCGGCGTCCGCGTGTGCCGGACGTCGCCTAAAGAGAGGAAAAATATCGAGACGGAGCCCGCATCAGGAGCGGGCTGGCGCTAGGAGGGGTCCGGATGTCTTAACAACAGCTGTTCCCGGATCCCTCCTGTTACAGGCGCAGAGTGGCACACCGTGTGGTTTTAGTCGGTCCGAGTCCGACACACCACCCCGCCGCAAACCCCGGAGGGGTGACGGTCCGAGGGGATTTCCACACGTAAAAAAAAAAAAAAAAAAAAAAAAGATAGAACGGATAGCGAAAAATATTAAAATAGCTTATTCCCTCGGCTTCAATTGTGTCAAAGGTACTCAATCCTTTTTCAATACTTAGGTTTTATGCAAAATTTACTTGCGATCATTATGCATTTTGTTTAAAACGTAAAGACGTATCCCAAGGTTTCGAGCACGCGCCTGAAGGCTGGAGATCTTTTTACTCCAGTGAGGATCGCAAATTAAAAATATGCATAACAATATGCTGAAAAATTCGTGACCCATTTAAATCTAAAGTTTACTCGGATTGTATTATGGCATCCAGAAAACGGAACGGTAGATACGTGTGTAGATACATATGAATACAAAGACCAATGTAAATATGCATTATAAAATTTGTGAATTAGCAGTTGAAAGCTACATTATTGCAGGGCTACATTCAAATGTAGGATGTCAATGAATAAATCTAAAACAGTGATGTCTTCTTTCCTCCAGTTAGACAACATTAAATAAATAAAATGAAAAAAAAACCGTCTGCGTAAAACATAACTAATCAATAACTTTAAATAAAAACTGAAAAGAAAAAAAAACAAGTTCTGGCCAGAAGTGTAGAAAGCAACTTAATTACGACAACATTGAAATAATTTCATTACACACAATATTACAAATAATAAATTCTAATACGAAACATATTGACTGCAACAGTCTGGACCCATATTAGATAGTGATTTTAGTGTAGATTATTTAATGGGTCCCGACTGTTTCTGCACTTCTGGACTGAACTTGTTTTTTTTCAATTCAGTTTTTATTTAAAGTTATTGTTTAGTTATTTTTTTAAGCAGAAAGGTTTTTTTTAATTATTATTTTTATCTATTATTTTTTAGTTACGATTACAATAAGATGGAGAATTTCGCATTTTTTTGTTACGTTTGTTACAAATTCCGTAAATGGTCTAATTTTTTAAAGGAATTTCATCGTGTGGATGATATAGCATTTTTTTAGGGCCAAGAGCACTGATAGCAAACCCTGAGAGAGATCAGACTCTGTTCAAAGCCACGTAAGCCTGACCTTTAGCAAATATGTATATGACTGCTTGAATCGACAACAGCTTGATCTAAGGCACCCTGCAATTTATATACTGTCACTGCCCTGAATAAAATTAAAGGGAGCATACATCGCTCGATCTTGTGGTGATTTCGTAAACTAGTCTGTTTGTTGGTTCAGCTCCGCCTAAAATAGGTAATTTATTACTTATATTATAAATATTATGGTATTGAGTACGCTACAAATTTGGCAGAAATCGGTATTCGGTTCTTGTTATATAAATACTACAATATATTGCTTGATTTTGTTTCACTTGTTTTTATTCTAATCTAATATATATATTTATTTACTCTATCTTATTTATTTAGATGTAAATTTGTCACTTTAAAGTTCATAAACCTACCTAGACATTCGCGCGTGTCTTGAATAGATAAATAAATAACATATTTGTTTAAATTAAAATATGGTAATTATGTACCATTTTAAAATCTTCATCCTTTAATTTGATACCCATATTGCAGAATCCAAAACATATTTTTTTTAACTTTAAAACTACAGCGTCTCACAGTCGTCATGTTAGATTTTATTAGCGTCACCTATCTAAGAACACTTGGTAACCCCAAGACGAATCTAACGATATATTAATTAAATAAATCCGTGCAGCGGTTTGGAAGATATGAGGAATAAAAAATATTACATGCATACAAAATACGCGCGAAAAACATCTCTTCATTGGCAGACGGGTAAAAAAGACAGGTAGGTAATAAACTAACAGGTAACAACTAACTACTTAACAGGTAGTTAAGTTTAATTAGGTATCGAATAAAAGTATGTGCTTATGGACTACTACGAGTATAAGTCAAATTAAAAAAAGCTTTTTTTACAATAAAGTCAAAGAGAAAGGCTGAGTGAGATGATGTAAATTTTATAGAGCTGACAGCTGTGTGTGGCATTTGTATGATCATTGTTAGTATTATTGAAAGAAAAGCCTCGTTAACATTTCACCGATAATAGTTTTTCCTTTTTTTCTTTGTTTAAATTTCTTTGAGGATGTCCCCTTTTTAATAGACTACAAAAAGAAACAAGTTTTCAATTCCATTGTATTCAGTTTAAATTGCGAGAACGAGTATTTGTCAATTCGGAAAAATCTTTTTTTATTTGAGACGGTATACTTCCTGTTTGGTGCCATTTGTTATAAAAAAAAATACCACTATTAATATGCCAACTCTGGTGGGATACTAAGAAATGAAGAGAAGAGAAGAGAGAAGTTAGTTGTCTAAAGGTTAACTTACGTGCAGGTTGTCGAATCTGTTGGAGGCGCACAGATTCTTGATAGGAGGAGGACAGGACTTAGCGCAATTCTCCAAACACTCCTCCTCCACTTCGTCTTCATCTTCGATGGGGCCCCCTCCAGGGCCGGCTTCTGCTTGATCCGCTGTTAACAATCGACACAGATACGTTAGAACGGCAACTTTTAACCACTTCAAAAGTAGACGAAAAAATGTCTTAGGTTAGTAGGAGAACTGCGATATATTTATATATATATATAAACTAGCTGACCCCGCAAACGTTGTTTTGCCATATCCATTATTTAAAAAAAATTACAAAGAAAAATTTTGGGGTATGAAAATGGTCTAGCCGTTTCGGAAGAGTTCAACTTCTAACACAGTGACACGAAAATTTTATATATTAGATAAATTTTAAAATTACTGATTATTACTTAAAATATTCCTACTAATACATTTTAAACTAATGTTCTCATTGGTGGACTATTGCCGTTGAATATACGATAACATGCATAAAGTTAAATTTGAAAGTTCAAACCTAGCTTCCTCTAACGCAACTAATTAAAGTGGTCACTAGTTCGAACGCAAGAGTTCATTCTAGCAAGCGTTTGCAAACCGCGGACCTGAATAAAATACAAAGGAATAGGAAAATAAAGCTGCGAAAATCAGATAACAGTACAGAATCACGTTTTCTTGAGAAAAGTAATCTCCAATGATTGATTTTCATAAAAAAGTTGACTCACGGTAAATCTGATAACAGCAACGTTTGAAACAAACTTGCCTTATAAACCCCACGGTTGTTTACAAACCCGTCTAGTTTGTGTATATTGACAAAGTTGAGCTCCAACCCAATAAACAACGCGAACACGGTACGTACAATAAACAGTATTATTAATAATATTGTTAGAGATTTCTTCCGTTTACTGTATTATTAAAAGCTAATAATTTAGCCGTGGAAGAGTCATGCTTCGGCATAAATTGGCCGGTCCGGCCGAAGTTATACCACGTATTGAAAGAGTATTAAGCAATTCAATCGTTGATTTTCTCCGACCGAGTGAAGTTACCAGTTCCCAAATCCCCCATAAGAATAAGGAGCACACTAAGAAGTCTCAGAGGTTGTTAAATATATGATAATAAGGAAATCCTTCTACTGACGGTACAATCAACTCTTCAATCTTTACACCAAATTGTAATCCGTATGATGAAACTTCATGGCGACAATTAAACGACATTCTTTGTCGTGAATTAAGACGAACGCAAATTTGTAAACGAGATTTCAATACATTGTTCCATGCAAACATTCAAATGTACGATCATTGTTCGTTGAACGAACGAACTTTGAAAACGCCGAGCTCATTCATTCGAACGTCGAACAAATTCCTATTGCTATAACAATAGCTTTGAAGGTAACAGGATCGCTTGCTCCTCGAATATTAAATCAAAGCTGATCTAATTTCTTTCACCCCTTCCCTGTTTGTGTATTTGTTGTATTGTGAAGTAATGCGTTTCTAAATCTGTATGTGTACACGTAAAAAAATAAGATCGGACTTTTCAGGTATCTGACCCTGACCTGCTCAGACTGTTGCTTACATTCTCCGAAAGTCATATGCCCTTTCTATTTTTTTTCTTCCACCTGCCCTTTTTATCTATCTTTGCTTTCTATGTATTTAATATATTCGAGTTATTTTTTTAGACGACTCCCGCGATAGGAATATATCATCTGTCGCGGCAGACTGTACAAGCATACATGCAACGGACGCAAAGAGCAATAGAACGATAACTTGTGGATCTCACAAAGAGATGTCCCATGTGGGGATCGAACCTACAACGCTCAGCGCAGTAGGACACGGCGATGTGGGCCGCGCAGCAATATGTTTATATTACGTGTGTGGTAAAATTTACCCCTCTTCTTCATATACTTACAGTTTACCCATCTAATCCCTAAGATATCCGGTCGAAGGTAATATAGATGTTTTTTTATCAACAAACAAACGCAAAATAGCAGACGGGTCACCTGACGGAAACGACTACCGTGCCCATAAACGCCTGCAACTCAGGGGGCACAAGCGTGTTGCCAGCCTTTGAGGTAGGAGTACGCCCTTTTCTTGAAGGGTTAAAGGTCGTATCCGTCGTATCACACACATATATATATATATGACTTATACACAAGACGCGCAAGACGTCTCTGCCCACCCTTTTGAGGATAGCGGCGCGGGTCAATGTACGAATACGTATGTGTGTAGGTTATTTGAAAAAGTAATGGCTTATAATAAACAAAAAATGTATTTTTTTTAACTTTATATCTGATATTTTTATAGCTTCTATCATTGTTAACAGTCCGTGTCCCTTTCCAGTCGAATGGTTTTAATTATGACAGAAAACCTCTTACGGCTATGTTTCCTCTTTGTTCTTTCTTCTCAAAGCTAATACACAAAGCCACATATTTTGGACTAAGGTGTACAGTTTGTGAAGTTAGGACTTGTAAAGTTAGGGCGTGTCGAGTTAGAAGTTTGGCTCTACATCAGGTCTGATGACTTTTTGGTTTCGTATTAGCAACATTTTACATGAAAATGTTTTTGGTTATTGGTAGAATGCAGCTCAAAAATCAAGTATGCTAATTTGCATATTTGATCGATATCTGTTATGCTTCTAAGAGCAACCTTAGCAGTTCACATGAACCAGACGATACTGATGACTATTTAACATCACGATACGATTAACATTATGTTAAATAATATTTCATCTTCATCAACATTTGGGCTAGTAATAAAAAATATACAATTCGACTGCACGGATGACGTAGTGGTTTCAAGCGATCGCCACGCCGCTTTCTACTACACTGAGTGTTGTGGGTTCGATCCACACACGGGAAGACACTTTGTGAGATCCACAATTGTCGTTCTAAGTCTGGGTGGTCCTTGTGTCCGTTTCATGTATGTTTGTAAAGTATTGATTTATTCCTAGAGCAGCTGATGCCTTTTAAAAAACAATAATTTTAATTATAATTAACAATTATATTAACCCTCAAGCTTTATTTTATTAGTATAGGTTGTCTGTTAGCTGCAATGCGAATATTGCAATGGAAAAGTGGTATAACTGGATCAGAATCGAGAAGAGTGGATACATTAAAGGGAGACTGAAAAAAGGCTCCACTAGATAAATTGTTGAGGTGCAAAAAGGGGTGGCATGGACATGTGATAGGTATGTGATACAGCAGTATTGAAGTCGACGGATACAAGAGAAGAGCACGAGCAAAGAAGAGATGGAGAAGTAGCAAATTCGTTCAGCGACGTCAAATAAGTGCAAGAAGATTATGATAATGTTTATGATATTGTGATAGTCTACGCTTCGTAAAATTTAGTGCACTGTTAAAGGGAGTTTTATACGTTTATTCTACAACACGACTAAATGTTTATAGCAGCCAAATTGGCAACAATTTACGTTACGCTTACTTACAATAAAACGTATGGAGCACTCAAAGGCGAACAACTTCTTTTGCAAACGTATTTTGAGAGTATAAAAGCCCTTTCACACAATGCGCGCGATTTTGTAGCGACTGTGTGCAAAAGTTACAAGAAATTCCATTCACATCACATCATCAACAGCCTTTAATAGTCCACTGCTGGACATAAGCCTCTCCTTAGAAAGGAGGTTTTGGCCTACTCTACTTACGACACCCACGAGATGTATAGGGGTGGTGATACTCTGTATTCTTAATCCGTCACCATACGGACCAATCTGTCACTACACGGACCCTAGCGGAGCGAGTGCCATCAGACCTCCACAACCCAAATAGGCGACATCGAAGTTCTGTAGAAAGACTGTTGTTAGACTTTTTAGGGCTACTACTAATTACTACTAGGCTTTGAAGACTTAATATAAGAAAAATAGTAGGTACGAGTATACTGGTTCATAGAGTTAATATGTACTCGAGTTAAAAGTCAGATGTTTGCCAGGTTTTGGAACGAAGTTCCTTATCGCGCGTTGTGAAAGGGGGCTAGACGGAAAAAAAATCTCACGAAAAGTTGTAACGACACTTTTTATGTCAGTCATTCAGCGCCATCTATCGAATAGACAGGAAATCATTACTTTTCACCTCAGTATTTATTTTAAATTGACACTTGTCAGTCATTCAGCGCCATCTATCGAATAGATAGGAAATCATTTCTCAGGAGATTTTACCAATGTATAAATTGTTTTAATTAGAAACCAACTGAAAAATATGTAGGTAATAGCCGCTTTCATAGATGGCGTTGTAATTAAAATCGTATCGAATCAGTTTTACTCGATCGTCACAACTTCGTTCCTATCGGGTGTCCCACGACACCACACGGCTTTTTTTTTTATATTTGTATCTCATCTATTTGACACAAAATCTAAGTAAGAATAGCTGCGGAATAAGGTTAATTTCTCATAAGTGTAACTAAATACTTAAGCGTTTTTCTACTAACGCTTAAGGCCTTCGCATGGATAGGAGGCTTAAGGACAAGGAGGGGAAATGTGTACGAATAAAAACGAAGTCGTATTGCCGTATATGGGCAACAAAACGCTTGTAAAACGGTCCCCAGCACCGGGGCTTTGATCTCGCGCAATAAAAATTGAAAATCGAGCGACAAAAACGAGGGTGTGTTACTCGAGTACTTATTGGGACATTATCTAACTTACCCTGGGTCTTATATTACTGTCACACTTGATAAGGAGACACGTTCAATGAGATGGAAAAGGACACATATAATTTGTAAATCTTACTTTTATAGAAAAATAAATGTTACAGGCCTTGGTCGTACGCTTTTAAACGTAGTATTTATAAGTGTGGTAACGGATTAAGCATATTGAGTACCACCACCACTATTCACCTCGTAGGTGATGTAAGAGCCGACCAAGAGAGCAAATTACGCAGAATAACAGCACTGCAAAAAGAAGGAAACCTTGAAACAAACCATACACCAACCTGTATGGCCAGCGTGGTATTGTAGACCAAAACCTGTTTTCTAAAGAGATGCCTAAGTCTAGCAGTGGACTATAAAGGCTGTTGATGATGATGATTGATGATAAGAAGTGAGAGAGAAAAAACGAACAAGCCTCACAGTAGCCGTATATGATGTGCAATCTTGTGATGATATTTAGCATAGCGTGCAGCAAATGTCAAATTAAATAACGTTTGTTTTATTAAAGAGGGGCAGACGAGCAGACGGGTAAGCTAACCGAACCTGATTGGAATGTGACTATCGCCGCCCAAGAACGTCTGTAACTCAGGAGTCACAAACGCGTCGCCCGTTCTTTTAGGAAGGAGTACACTTTTTTCTTGAAGGTTTGAAGGTCGTATCGGTCCAAAGATACCGCAGACGATACCCCGTTCCACAGGTCGGTTGGTGCGAGGCAAAAAGTGTCTCGAAAAGCGCACAGTAGTGGAGCGCTAACTATCCAGGTGTCGTTAATCGCCATCCTGTTTTATACTTTCGTTCATTTTACGAAATAATTAAAAATAAATCAGAAAATATCTTAACTTTTTTTAGGCAGCGCTCAAAGTGTTTTGCTATATATTTTTATACTTTTACAAGTTGCTAATCCGCTAATGAACCTTCTTACTAAATAATTTAATATTCACTGTTGAAATTTTAATAAATAGCCGCCTTGTCGACTCTCTTTGCTTGCTTCTTCATACGCTCTATAACAGCTTTAATAAAAACTGAATGACATAAAATAAGAAAGCCACACAACAAAAGTCCCACGTACCCGCTTGAAGATCTGCCACATAATATGCTCATCTCATCTAGACGGGCCGACAGCTTCTTTGTGTGTTGTACGGCAGGAGGTACAATATTATATCACCACTAGATGTTTACACAATCTGCTTCGTACAGACCATTTACTTATATTGCAACAAAATAGTTCGGATGAGCAGTTTTTTTTGTATTACAACTACCTGACTCGACAGCCAGCCATCTGATATGTTCACATTTTACAGAAAAAAACACAGATTCCACGTTAACCCGAAAACATCTTTACCATATATTCTTTCATTAAAATTTTTACCCCTGAAATGTTAAAGGCGTCCAGATGTATTCACGTAATTTGTTTACTAATTGAACAGCAAAATAAAGAAAGTTATGTTTATTTACATTCAACCGGACATTATCTATATATATATATCAGAGACTTTCCACGTATATAGTCACTCATCACGATATCTCTGGAACCATTAGAGCTAAAGACTTGAAATTTGGTAGGAATATTCTTTTTACCGAGTAGAGGTCAGCTAAGAACGGATATAAGAAATTCAAAAATAAATAAATAATTAAATAATGTAAATAGCAAAACAACGTTTGCAGGGTCAGCTAGTGTTGCATATCACATTAAATATAAATATTAAAATATATTGGAAATAATAACACTTACTATCAGTGTGATGATGGATTTAGATACGGAGTGTCACCACCCCTATTCATACCGTAAGTGTTGTCAGAGCCGCCTAAGGATGCAAACTATCAAGACGACAGCACTGCAAAGAGAAGGAAAACTTGAAACAAACCTTATACCAAACCCGTATGGCCAGCGTGGTATAGTAGCCAAAACCACCTTTCTAAGGAGAGGCCAATGGTCCAG